ATGACACCAATAAATTTAGCACAACAGATAAAACTCACTGTACTCCCCTTACAATCTTTTATGCATGAAAAAAATATAAAGTTCTAAGTATGTCATACTATTATCATGAAGCAAGTTTAGACATGTATATAGCTCCCCCTGAATCAAAGGCCGGCAGTAAAAAAACATTATTGGGGATTATAGAACAAGGAATAAATTCTTAGAAACTGATATCACAATACTAGCAAAATAGGAGAATAAAGACATTCTACAGTCTCTAATAATCAAAAGCAAATAAAAAAACAATACTAAAATTTAGACAATGGAAACACAATATTCTTAATTTCCACCTGTAGTCAACCTAAACATTTTAAGCATGAATAAAGGAATTCTAAAGTATCTAAAAAAAAAACCAATCCCACAGCTTCCGAGTTACACCAGTTCACACCTAGCGCACAGAATAACATAGATATATTAAAAAATCAATAATAATAAGAGTAACAGTACTAAAGTTAACCACATATTATACGCTGCCGACAGAGTACCCTAAGCTATCATAAACTATCATATCCTGTTCTCTCCCCTTTTTGTCATCTAGCCTACAAACCAAACACGGAGTTATACAATCTATCAGCGAGCCATAAATAACCTTCTATCATATTTAAATATCTATGTTTGCTTTTGCTTAATCATCAAATATCTCGAGAATTACAAGTGTTTGACCCCTTACACCAAACAAGACACTACTTCCTCCCCCTTTTTGGAAGATATGACAAAACCTAATAAATTTTAGCAACAATAAACATGTGCTCCCCCTAAAATTTTCATTGCATTGAAAAATATATCAGTTCTAATTATGTCATTATAATTTCATCATGAACAAGTTTAGAATATCTATCTTATGCTCCCCCTGTAGAATAGGACACCCCGTCTATTCCTTGCAGTTAAACAACATTTCTTTGCGATTAACCATCAGAACAAGGAATACAATTTCTTTATGAAACTGAAATTATTAGAACTAGAAAAATAGAATAAGACATTCTAATTCTACATACATCCAGAGCATATGGAGTAAAAACTGAGCTAGACGCAATTACAAAAAAAAAAAATACTGATAATTAGAAATGGAACAAAAAATTCTTAATTCCAACCCTTGTAGGAGCCAAACCTACCAATCTAGAAACTAAGAATAATCTAAGGTGCCTAAAAAAATCTCAAACCTAAACCCAATTCCAGATTCACCTATGATTCTTTAAGCGTCACAGACATTAACACAGATTTTAGAAGAATTAAAATAAGCCCTAATAAGATGTACATTATGGTTACTGAATAGTTACCAGAATATTAGTCAGCAGTACATTAACCATCAAAATTATCCTATGTTTCTCCCCTTTTTGTCAATCATTCACAAAAGGCGTTTTAGTAAATATCCAGAGGTGATAACAACATAAAAAATCTAAACGCATAATTCAAATACTATAACCCTACACTACTAACCACATCAAAAAAAAAAAAAACTATCTTTTTCCATCAGAAACATAGACCAAACTAAGTAAAGAAATCAGAACGATTGAGTTCAATTCTAAGTCTCATGTAGAAACACTTTTCAGATTTGCTTAGCA